GGCGTCGAGTGCTGGTTATTATTATTAACTCCTCAGGCTTCTCCACGACCCCTTAAACTGTCTCTCCTCTGAGCGGAGGGGAGAAGGCCAGCTGGGAGGCCAGAGGACGGGGACCTTCCTGCCCTCCTGTCACGCCGATTCTGAGTCCAAAGGCAGATCAGGGACAAGAGTAAGATTTTGCTTCTCAAAGCCAAGCGTCTCAGATGGAGGTAAAGGACCCCTCCCTCGAGTTGCTGGGAGCAACATGCAATGACAATGACCCTTTGGACAAGTTTTCGTTGTAAAGAGCTAGCACATTTTAGTCACTCATATCCCACCAAGCTTATGAAAGAGAAGAGTCTACGTGATTATATACACAGACTATGTGCGCACACGTGGTGAACAACTACTCAGGTGCTCACTATTTGCAAGACTCCATGCCGTACTCCCAAATGGCCCTGAAGGGATAACTCCAGTTCATAGATGAGGAAACCAAGGTTCAGAGAGGTGAAGCCACTTGCCTGAGGTCACACAGCTGGGCGGTCTGCCTCCAGAATCTGACTTCTAGAGATCCCAGGTGAAAAGGCTCAGGTTTCCCCTGCCTCCCTGCAGGGTTAACAGCCCCCACATCCCACCTACTCTGAGCCCAACCAGAACCCTCCTCACATTCCTGGGGCCCACACAGGGATCCTTCCCTGAGCCACCTTCTCAGACTTCCCTCCTCTTTACCCCAAGTTCCACATGAGATGACACCTGCCGAGCTGTGTGACTCCTGGTCCATGGCGCTGCCATTTCTTCCTTCCTGGTCAAGGACAACATTGTGTCTCCCGAGACACTGAAACTGTTTCCTCTTTCTCCGTAACACAAGACCCTGCGACGGATCTGCTGTTCCTTTTTTGATGTGGCTACAAGGAAGCTCGGAGTGGATTTTGCAGGCTAAAGGCAGCCGTTCCCTCACCGCTGCTGGCCTTCAGCCTCTGCCTGGGTTTGGCTGGGTCTCTGGTCTGCCCGGATGAGGCTTTCCATTGGTTTTAGTTCCTTGTGAGGCAGAGTTGGTGGGGTGCACACAGAGCCCGGGCGGACTGAGGACGCTCGCCTGCATGAGCTCATGCAACCCAGGGGTGACCCTGCTGTCGCTTCCGTTGAAGGGAAGCCCATGTCACAGGGTCAGCCAAGGACAGATGCACATCCAGGTTGCTCTGACCCCGACCTTAGCCCTTAACCACAGGGCTTGCTAGAAAGCCGAGCACATTTTCCTGAGCCTGTTCACATCCTTCCTGATGCTGCAGGGTCCCCGGCTCCACCCTCCGGGGAACCTCTCAAGGAATGCACCCTCCCCAGATTTGGGGACAATCTGGCTGAGGTCTGGGACACACGTCCAGGGAGGGGAGTCTGGCCAGCAGCCACATTATCTGTCACAGCCAGGCTGACAGCAGAGCCACCGTTAGTGACCATTTGGTCAATCCCCGGCTGCTCACCTCTGCGAGTCATGAGTTATTTATGTGACCATGGCCAGGGGACGCCTCTGACCGGGCGGCAGGACATCTGAGCACAAGAACTGGATCTTATTCAGCGCCACGTCCCAGGACCAGAGCCAATGGTGGGCACCCACTGTTCTTTGTTGTCTTGTTTTATTTTTCTGACGCGATCCTCTAAAGCACTGGTGGCTTGAGCCTGCTCCTGGCATGGTGGCCTCGGGGCAGTGACGTGTCCCAGAGCAGCCCTGGGCTGTGTGCGAGAGTGCCCCAGGGATCAGGGCCTCCTGTGATGTCCCCTCAGGCTCAGGGTCTGGAAATCACAGAGGGTCACTTCTGCCCTCTTCTCTCTATAAACAATCACAGGCAAAGAAGGAATGCGGGAAAAAAAAGGGCCTGTCACCCTTTGTCCCCAATGAGCATCTTACATGCCTCAGCCCGGGTCCCCTAATACCGTCCGGCAGAGGCAGGGATGAAGGACAAGGTGACTTCACCCAGCATCTCCTGGGCAGCCAGTCACGAGCTGCACTCTGACGTCACCCAAGAGCCCTACAGGATCCCAACACGGTCACACCCATTTTCAGCTGGGGACACAGAGACTCAAGGAGGCGAGGTCAGTGGCCCCCAGAGGACGCGGCCAGTGTTGTTGTTTATTTTTGTTGTTAGAGGTGACCTTCACTGTAGCCGGGGTCCACCAGGCTACTCCTGCCCCCCTCACCTCCCTCTCTCCAGGT